TTGGCAGCTGATTGCCTATGTCAGATAAGGGAGAGGGAAGAGTCGAGCATGATAATGAGGTAGGAAATCTGGGTATCTGATAGGATGGTGATGTCCTCAACAGAAATACAGAAATTTGCAAGAGGGGTAGTTTTAAAAGGGAAGATAGAGTTTTGTTTCGTACGTGTCAAGGACAAGATGCCTAAGGGGACATCCAATTGGAGCTGTCCACCAGACAGTTGGTGTAGAAGGCTGGAGGTGAGGAGAGAGATTAGCACTCATTTAAAAGAACTAGAAGAAGGTCTCAAATGCTTTGGTTAGATCCTGTGTGAAGGGCTCATTGAGAATCATGGAGAAGAATCAAACATGGTGAGGAAGAGTTGGTGGGGTTGATACCTGTGCCAGTGAAGAGAAAATCTAGATGGATGAGATCATAGATCTGACCAAGAAAGTGTATGAAGATGGAGGAAATGAATGTTTATAAAAAACCTTGTACTCATAGGGTGGTGATGGGGATAAAACATTATAAGAGTTCTACCATTTAAGCTATAATACAAGCATTTATTGTTTCACATTGGGAGTATTATTTTGCAGCCTTAGGTTTAAACTGACCTTTTTAAGCAAGAAAGAACATTAGAAACCTTCCATTTCATTCCTCTGATTCTACAGACAAGGAAACTGAGGCTCATAGGGATGAAGTAGCTTGTGTGAGGTCATATAGTAAGTTGTATGGTTGTGATGTGAAACCCATTCTCCTGATTCCCTAGTCTATATCTTATTTGATAGTGCCTCCCTAGCAGAAATCACTGCTTATTTTTTAAAATATAGCCTATATTTATTCATGAACATGTTGTGTCCCTCTAGTAGAATGTAAGCTCCTTGAAGGTAGGAACTGTTTCACTTGAGTATTTGTATCCCTAGCACTTAGCACAGTGCCTGGCATATAGCAGGCACTTAGTAAATGCTTAGTTGATTTGTTGATTATGCCACGCTGAACCCCTATAAAGAACATCACCTTCTTTTGAGTTAGAATCAAATCTGAAATATTGCTAAGGTTTTCCTCACTTATAGAACAATATAGTAACTGTTATTGGCCAGACAAGCCCTGTAATCTCCCATCACTGTGCCTCTGCTCTTGCCATTCCTTCCACCTGAAATATCTTTCCTCTCCATTTGCCTATTTCTTATCTTTCTTTCAATGTTACCTCCTCCATGCTTTCCCTGGCCACAAGTAACTTCTCCATCATCTGAATTAACACAGTATTTTGTACCCCCACTGATTTCACATATTACTTTGTATAGTAAACATTTGTATCCATGTCTCATTTAATCTACTCAATTTTAAGTTCCATGAAGGTTAGGACTTTCTTATTCTTTTTTATATTTCTCAAAGCCCTCACACGTGGTATCTTGTACATAGCAGGAAATTGGTAAATGCTTATTCGTTTTAACAAACTGGCCGAAAAGACAGTGAGGACCTCCCATGTGTAACAAGCATCTACACTGGATGCTGGAGTTGCAAAGGCAAAATGAAAGTTTTTCCCATTAAGGAGCTTACATTCTACTGGGGGAAATGCAGCATGTACTCAAATAGTACAAAGGGAATTGAGGAGCAAGAGAAAAGCAACAACTGGAAGAGAGGAATTATCATGAAGGAGACAGCATCAGAGCTGAGGCCTCGAAGATTGTGAATGACAGGAATGAGGAAGGGGTACATTTCATGGGGTATGGCTTAACTAATCACATAAAGATGGGATAAGGAGGAACAAACCAGCAGTCCAAATCTAAGTACTAGTCAAACTCTTCTCAGTGAGTAGAATGAAATAAGGCTGGAAATGTAGGTGAGAGTTAAATTGTGGGTGGAGGGCCTTCTATGACAGACTGAGGAGTTTATATTTCATTCAATAGGCAATGGGGAGCCATTGACATTTTTTGAGCAGAGAAATAACATGGTACAACCACTGCCTTGGAAGGTTTTTTTTGGCAAGCTGTGTGGAGGGTGTACTGGAGACAGGAGAAAACAGAACCAAGGAGACCAATTAGGAGCCTATTACAGTACTGTGGCAGGGCCAAAAACCCTTTATTTTCTTTAATGCTCTCCATGTCTGGTCTTTATAGTTACGTGACCTCTTTATTACTTGTGTATGGGTGTGGCTTTACTTCTTAGAATTTTATAACTGCAAGTACTATTATTCTTCCTGACACTAAGCAATGAAAATGAATATTGCTTGCTATAGAATATATACATGCATACATCTATCTCTACATAGCCCTAATAATAACAATAATAATAATGATAATGATAATGATAATAAGTTAGGCTCTTTGTATGAGTGTTGAAAGTATATTTCCCCTCACTCCTGGAATCTGATTTAGCATTTCACATGCAAAATCCCAAGGGAGTGGAAGGAGTGGTAAGGCATAAGCACTTCTAATGAGGCTTTGAATTCTTCACATGAGAGAAGAATCCAAGGCTATCCTCCCGGTTCTTACCAGATAATTGGCATATATCCTCTAAGTTTTAACTGTCCCATTGCTTATTCTGATTTTACTCCTAAAACCATCTAAAAAAGTCCCCCTTTTGCCCAATAATAACTTTTTTGATAAAAAACCCATTTGGGCCCTGATGGCCCCATAGAAGTTGGCTTCATAAATAAGATACTCCATGACCCTCTCGGTCTTAACTAAGTCAGAGAACATTTCCTTCCTATGTTCTGCTCCCTCTTGAAGGATTACTAAACTCAAAGATCCCAAAACATAGACCTGGATTAGAAAGTAGCAGACTACACCTTGCTTTCCAACAACCACCATTCTGGATTACCTCAAAAGAAACATGTATCAGAGATGGGACTTTTTCCTACATAAAAAGGAAAAGCTGGGAAGCCATCTTTGGAACTGCCATACCTCTAGTCTGAAAAATACTGAAAGAGGTGACTCCCATCGAATCCTTTAAAAGGAGAGCTTAAAACAAGTCATTACTCAAAAATTCCGGGTTAAAATTAAATTTGAGCATGACATACATGCCTCAATTCAATAAGCAGTCGTTAACTGCCTGTTATGTGCAAGGATTTTTGTCTTAGGTGCTGGGATACAAAAACAAAACAAAACAAAACAAAAAGAACGAAAACATGCCTACCTTCAAAGAATTTATGTAATACATAAATGAATAAATAATATAATTTGAGGAGGGGGAGAGCCCATTAAAGAGGGTTAAAGAAGGATTTTCCATACGAGACAGCAAATGAGTTGGGTCTTTTGCAGAAGCAAAGTATTCTAAGAGGGAAAAATGAGGAGTGAGTGAATTCCAAATAGTCAGGATGTGTCATACATCTAACCTGAAGCTTGGGACTACAAAAATTTACAATTAGAATTAAGACACCCTGGTGATAGAATTTGGAGAAGAAAATGGTAAACCACTTCAGTATTTTTGCCAAGAAAACCCCAAATGAGGCCACAGTCAGACATGACTGAAACGACTAAGCAACAACAACAATTAATAAGATTAAAAGTTTTCTCAGGTTTTGTTTTGTTTTTTTTCCTAAGTGTTATTCAATGGTCATTGAGCTACCTTGTTCCTAGATATGTTTTTTCAGCTCTTTTGTTTTACCCTCATCTGTCTTTGTGCCAGTTATTTCGGCAAAATGTAAAGGGATCACAAAGACAATCCAATGCTTGGTTCCTGGCAGCTGCCAGATATTTTAAATAAAAGACTTCTGGGATAGCAAAGCCAATATTCACACCTAAGTGACTAAATCTTATTAGGTGCTTTATCATACAGATATGAGCACTTGACAGCAAGTCACAGGTTAACATTGCCAGGGCAGGTGTAAGTCTGATGATGGTTTAATATTAATAAATCATTCATGCCAAGGATAACATGCATCTGGTAGGTAGATGCTTGTCATCCTTATGTGTTCTAAACTTATGTGAATTATGGAGTCTGTGTACTTAAGAGTTCATAACTAGGAAAAAGTTAAGATACAGAGTTTGTTTAGGACTTTCACGTGAATGTTGTTTAAAAGGAAATAAACAGACAATTACTTATGTTTTGAAAACTACTAAAACAAGCAACTTTCCATTTAATTTTCCAATTTTTTTCCTTTTAATTAATTGATGTTACAACACAAAAATAGACACTTCATCCTACCAACCCACCCACAACTTTCAACTGACTCCCTCATCTGGTCACTATGCAAAAAATTTAAAGCCCACAAATTTGTATTCAAGTCAACATAGCTCTTTAAGATAAGTTAGATTTCATTGGTACATCCAACTCACATATCCTCAGAATTGACTTCAGATGTGTTGGTGACAGAGTACTCAGTACCTCACATTCTTTTAAGAGTTAACTTTTAGAAGAAAGGATCTCCAACTGGTAGGTCTCACTTGGAGTGTGATTCAGCACTCCGCGAATAGCTCAAAAGTCTCCCGATGTGTATGCAGAGGCTGCTTGTTTGGGCATGCTTCTTTGGAGTATGTATCATTTTAAAGGTCTGGTATAGCAATGTGGCCACTGCACATACTGCTCTCTCTGTGATTTTCCTTTTTCTTGCTGTGAAATTGAGACCCCAAGGTTGGGCATGTGTGGCTCTAATTATGGAGCCTGACTATATATTATGATGCAATCTTATCTTCCTGATAGAGAGATCCACTCACTAACCTTTATTTACCTTTAATCTTATTGGTGTAATAATTACACGGGCCTAGGTAGAAATAAAACTATTGATTTTGAGAGAGGAAAAGAGTGAGAGACAGAGAGAGAGAGACAGACAAAGAGAGAGAGACAGAGGGAGAGAATTGTTTTAACATTCTAGAGTTTAAGAAGACCTTTTTTAACTCCTGATTTTTTTTTATAAGGAAGAGTGTGGCCAATTATTTTCCACTGGGAATTATGAGTATGACCAGTTGCCACTCTTCCTTCCCCTTTAGGGAACTGTTTATGATAAAGATCAGGCAAGTGTGCATTCCTTGCCTGTCTAAAAGCAGCAGCAAATTGGAAGCAAACAAACAAAAATTCTTACCAGTCACAACCACGGTATTAGAATTGGAATCCATGAAATTTAGTTGCAGAATGCAAAATCTGCTCTTTTTTTTTCCATTCCAAACAAGAGCACAGGCATTCCTGCATCTGTGTCACCAAGGCTGTGCTGAACTTTTTTTTTTTTTAATTTCATTCCAAAAGGTCTTGGTTCCTATTGGACAGAGTGAAGTACCTCATCAAAGAGAGACCATTTTGGACTCTGTTCAATTTCAACTTAAATCACTGAGTTGGGGACGGTACATCGTGTTTGCTGTTGAGAGATAAAACTTTAATTTAATTCTCCTTTTCTGTAGTTTTCAGTAAAGTTCCAAAATGGTGCCAAAGAAAAATAGAAATGTCTATAAAGCAAAATGATCACTTGCTATTAGAAATATTAACACCAAAATGCAAAGTTGAAGCTTTACTTAACAGAATGTGATTGCAATGAAATACTTTTGTTACTTTTTGCCATTGTTAATCGACTATTTGGCCATTTCTGCCATATTAAGCATTTTTAAAAAATATGGAACTCTTTTAATATCTTTTTTAAGGTAGATGTTAGCTGTAATATTACTGTTTAATTTTATTTTGTTGGTCTTAATATATCAGGGAAAAAACATGTCAGTAATGATACAGTTGAAGCTGTTCCCTGTGAGATAAGGTAGTTTATTTTAGCTATGTAAGCAATTATTTTCTGCCTTTTTTTTTTATTAGTAAGGATTATATTAAATACCTTACCATATGGGCTAATTTCCTTTACTGAAGAAAGATTATATACTGTACTATCCTTTCAGATATCACAAAATTTTAAAGAAATTCACTTACTAATGCAAATAGTTGTCTTAATTTTTCCATCCAGTTGCAAAGAGAAAGGATGTAGTTCGCTGAAAGATATATGTAAAAGAAGTACGTTGGTTCTAATACACTATATGCTTCATATTGGACAATATGATCACCCAGTACAATCTACTTAATTGGCCCCCTGATAAAAAGTACACCCATTTAATTGGGATCATTGCCAAGGAACAGAATTGCAGTGCTTCTCAGTGACTTTAAAACAATGGGCAAATGACATGGCTAGTTCATTTAATTGGTCCCTCGGTATGGTCTTCGAGCTTATTTACAGTAGTGAACAGGTGGGAATTGGCATTTGCCAGCATAGACTTCCCACAGCCTGGCCTTGTCAGCATAGAGCTTCCTTGTTCTTCAGATGGGAGCAAAAGGATTTAAATTTCATGCACCAGTACTGCATCTGAGGTGAAAAATATAATAGAAAGAGATCTACATGTGAAAGTAGTTGGTTGCCTAGTTTTACTGTTTTCTCCAGACATTTGTTAGGATTATCTGGATCCCATCAAGAGGAAGAAGTGCTTTTGAGTTGTGTCTAGGATTATGTCAAGCCACATGGAACTATGATCTGAACTGTATTCCTTACCCCAAGAATAAAAGTTAAAGACCCAAGCCTAGTAGGATATATGTTTTGAAGAAAATAAAAAAATTCATTGTCTGAGACCCCAACTTGATCTACCGTCAACTTCATCTAGAACGATCTGGCTAATGTTATTTTGTGTAGAACAATCTGAAAATGTTTGCTGCTCAAATAAGCTTAAAGGCAGATCAGTGATAAACTTGAAGTGCTAAAATTCCCCTCTAATTATGCCAATTTTGTGATCGTGTTGCAAATTTGTTAGTTCTTGAGAATGTAACATCAGATTTATTTTGATTTAAGCTCTAGTTTGTACTTCCCCCACAATATTTTCTCTTTTCCATGATTCAGTTTTCCTTGTTTCCTACAGTTATTATCTGATAAAATGGTTGATTATTTATCATTAAACATTTCCATTTACCTACATCTACCATTTCTTTTAGCCTTCTCCTTTACCATACCTCGGCCCCCACCTCCACCCCCACCCCTGCCCGCCCCCATGCTTGTTCTGTGAAAATCAAAGAATGACCTATTACTCAGTGAAACATAGACTTTAGGATCTAAAATCTTCACCTTTTGTTTTCTTTTCCATTGTAAAAATAAACGATCCTTAACAAACCTTAATGGTGAAGACAATCTTTATGCAGATGAAACATAATAAGCCTGAGAATAAAGAAGGCAGCTGAGAGGAGATGTTGTATTTAACTGAAATTATAGTGATTATTACTACAGTTTAGACACCAAAGAAGAAAATGTTTGTAATCATATTTGACTTCAGGATTAAGTGGGCAAGGTGAAACCTTCTAATTGAACCAGAAAGTAAGCAGAATTAACGAGCTTTCATGCCAGGGATGGGAAAATGTGCATTGCCAAGATTTTAACAGCACCCTGAAACCTCAAATATTTCAAGTTTTGAACCAAACACAAAACTTTGAGGGATTTGATTTGAATTTTTTATTGGCAAACTGATGTTTCCTGCTTTAGAGGGAGAAAAAAAAGATTTAAAAAGGTTGTATCATTTCTTTCACATGAAACAGCTCTTGCAAAACAAAACCGTGTGCACCATACATGCGGCACATGAAACTAAAACGCATTAGTTAAATTGTTTTCTGGGAGATATGAGGGTGGGTGATTGATGAAAAAATGGTGTTGGGAGAAAATAATTCTAGGGAAACTCAAAATGTTTGCTGTTCTTTTCATAGAATCACTGAGTTTCCAGTTTCAATTACTTAATTCCACTGTGTCATGAAGTTGGCTAATGCTTCTTCAACCATTTCCATCTCTCAACCAAATTACAATTTGTCTGAATGTCAACCAATTCTCAGAAAACAGCTCCATGATTGTGGCAATATCAGTCATTCACACATTCTCTTTTTGTGGGTCCTCACCTGTGAAAATCTTGTGCCTCAAACTATGATTTTTCCCTTATACTAAAAGATAATATAAAAATAACAGTATGGTATACATCAGCAGTTTCCTCAAGAAAATTAAGAAATTGGCTGATAAGAGTATAAAATAACGCTTAGAAATGCAGAAAGGAAGCACTATGTAATGGAGTACTTACTGAGTATCAGATTATTCAAGTCATTTTACCTCTCTGGGCCTCAATTTTCTTATCTGTAAAATGACAATGTTTGATGAGATGTACTCAAAGGTCCTTCACAACTCTCAATCTATGATCCTATGGGTTTGTCTCTGATAGTAGTAACTACCTTATCCTCCAAGGCATACTAACATTCTGATTGAAATGCCACAGATAATTTTCAAATTCAGTGAACTGCTGTAATTCTGATTTTTACTACCTACTTAACTAATTTTTTTCTCCTATAAATGGCTTTCACAAAAAGCTAATAAAATAGTCCATCTTGGAAATGCTGCCTTCATTTTTCATCACCAACAGATATAGGTTGATTTGGGAAACAGACCAAGTCAGTATCTCGGAGCTATGATTCATAATTTTTGTAGAAAGTGACAGCCTAACATTGTTTGATTTCATAACAGAATCTTCCATTTTTTATGAAATAACTAGAGGGCACAAAACTACTTTTCAATTTAAAGTGATTTCCAAATAATTCTATTTTGAGAATGTAATGATTCTTTGAAATAAATGGAGGAACTCAAAACTATTAAAAAAAACAACACGGTGGGATATTTCTATCTTATGGGCACCTAGGTGGCACAGTGGATAGGTCATTGGACTTGTAATCAGGAAGATTTATCTTTCTAAGTTCAAATCTGGCCTCAGACACTTAGTAGCTGAGTGACCCTAAGCAAGTCACTTAACCCTGTTTGCCTCAGTTTACTCATGTGTAAAATGAGCTGGAGAAAGAAATGACAAACCACTCCAGTATCTTTGCCAAGAAAACCCCAAAATGCAGTCAGGAAGAGTCAGACACAATTGAACAACAGCACAGAACAACTTTGGGAATGATCCTCAAATCTTCACATGAAATTTGTTAAGTAAAGTTTGGTTATAGATATAGATCTTTAGAACAAGGGACCTTACATACAGTACAATTCAGCCTGTTGGATTCAATGATCAATCATGGAAGACATAGTGGAGTGAATAATGTTGAACTTGGAATGACAAAGATATGGTCTAAAATTTTTATCACAGGCACTTACTAGTTGTGTGATACTGGACAAATTACTTCATTTCTCAGCCTCAGTTTTCTGCTCTGTAAAATGATGATAAATAACTGTAGCACTTCTCTTATGGGGTGGTCGTGAGAATAAAGGGAGAGAATACAGATAAAGCATTTTTGAAATCTTAAAGTGATATATAAATGCCAATTGTTATTATTAACAAGTAGCACAAAGATAAATATTTGAAAATGTTCAAATGTTTTTCTTCATAGTTTCATGTCTCTAATTTTTTAGAAAGGAACTCAGCCTTGTTATATTTTATTGAGACTTTGTTTTCTTCAGTTTCTGATAAACACATGCCATTTCTATTGCCAGAATTACACCCAAACCACTAACAGAACATTATTCATTTTTATTTCCTATACTGTAACAACTTTAGCAAAAGGACTCAATTTACTTATCAAGCAGACACTATGACTGACTACTACTTTTTGCTTAGGAAATTCACAAATACTTGGGACATTCCTAGAACAGCTGTGTTCTTCTTAACACTGAAGAAATTCCCAGAAAAGTAGATGAAGTCAGCTGAAGAAGTTTTTTTTTTCCAAAGCAAAAACTGAACTTTTTGTCACTCCCTTTGTATAATGGCCTATGAAATAGGAGTAGAGGAGTTCTTGACTGTTAAAATATTCCAGTCTTTGTTATCTCAGTTAAATTTTTCTTGGGGGTGGGTTGGGGTGGGGGTGAAAGATGGAATGGTGAGGCTAGGACAATTTTGGATGTGACATGAGTAAATAAATGGATGAGTTACATTAAGAGGTTTCGTAAAGGAACAACAAAGGTGCCTGGAGTTTAGTTTTGAATCAAGGATCCACAGCTTCCTTTAATGTAAGTATAGAGACAAAAGAAATCCATTGAGGAGGAAAAGGAGTTATCACAAGAGAGTGATGTGGATGCATAGGGCACTCATCCACTTAGTTAGATTTTAAAAGGACAAATTCAGAAGAAAGAAGCAAGAACAGGTAATGGAAAATGAAAACAAAAGCATCTTGGGATCTACAAGAATAGACT